TTTCTCAATATATAAAAATTAACAAATATCAAGACAACATCCAACTCTTAGTATTGTAACATCAGATGTTTAACTAATTTCTTTAAGGTGAAAACTGTTGAAAACAACAAGACTGTTTTGTCTTATTGTACAAATTAAAATCCAGCTCCACATGTTTCTATTAATGTCATTTCCCCACTAGAAAAATGTGTGATGGAGGTCCATGGAAGGCAAATAAGTTTAAATCAAATAAAAGAGGATGTAGTTAAAATTAATAAAAGGTATTTAAGCTACGTTTTGAACATCCAAAACATGTCCAACACTTGTTGGCTGCTTGTGCTCTTTAGGTCAGACGTGTGTYGGGAAGCTCCTCTGTTGTTTGAGACGCTGGGGAAACTGGGAACGTGGCTCGACCTAACACCGGTCTCTGTTTAATGGCGGATGAAATAAAGAAAGTGGCGGTACTTTATTTACTTTGAGCAAGCCAACATCGTGCTCACAAGATAATTAATCCACCAGATAATTCAGAGGCGGTCTGTTCGGTAAATTTTACTCCAGGAGCTGCGAGGCTTGTTTTCAAGCTTAGACTGAACTGAAGCAGCAGCTGCTGACGTCATTACGCTCTTGCGCGATGCTGCGTTCAGGACAAGCATGGAAAACTCACCACTCTTATGTCAATATGGTTGCAATGATGCTTTTAGGTACAGAAATGGAATTGCATGAACATTCACGTGGTGGTTATGTAATACAGCGATTCGATAATAAAATCTGCGTCGACAAATTTACATAATCGACGTCATCGATTATTTCAACTAATCGGTGCAGCCCTAATTTTTTTATTATTCTTTAGTACTTTATGTTCATCAATTTATATGGACTAAGCTATCAGACCACATTTCTCTCGTGGTAAGCCGGGACTTTATCCTACCCAGTAGTAGCTGCTATCAAGACAAATATTGACAAAAGATAAGGACTGCTACTAGAAAGTCATAAAAGCTGTTGAGGAAAGAGCAAAGATAAGTCAAACACAATGAAGTGCATAGATTGTCAGATTTTTATTAAAATGTGTACAGCTTGTACTATTTATGAGATTATGTATAACTTTTTGCTGCAGTATAAATAAGACCGAGTGTATTCCACCCTATTTAGATAATGGGAACCATGTTTTATACCTTGCAAGTGGTGTCAGTCAGGTTCACTTCAAATGACCAGAACCTGTTGTAGGTATTTCAACAACAGTCTTCAGAACTGCCCTACAGGCCTGAGTTAGACATCAGCACTCAATCCAGTGGAAGTAGCTGATGGAACTGATAAACAGTCCAAATCTTAGGTTTCAGAAAGCTCTCATTGTTCTAACAAAGAAAAGTTTATATACACTGGTTGGAACTGGGCACAACCTGCCCAACCGCCACAAAATGGTGATGGGACTCCATGACAATGGTCTGTGTAAAGCCTGTTGCATTGATTTAGAGGCCTCTGAGCAGTCAAAAGAAAATAATTTTTGGGGACCCATTTATGTATACAGAGACAGTCAGAACACTGTTTCTAACATTGTGTCCTTCATCCACAAATGTTTGAGGCCTGTGCCAGTTTTGGGGAGAGCAATGGCCCACTTAAAAGGCTCCCGCTCATATGGGTTCTTTATCCATCCCCACTTACCATAACCAGAACCACATGTGCTACTTTCAACGAATGTGACAAGATCAGTAGGAATTTTTAATAAAGCCATACCCTGTTTCATGACCTTTACTGCCTAATACAGTATATGTTTAGCCTAATAAAGTACTTTTTTTTTTAATTTTGCACTAGTAGCAAAATATTTTTCTTAAGGTTAAGCCAGCTTGTTTTTATGTCTCAATCATAGCAAGATAAAAATGCACTTGCATCAGATTTGATTCCATATTTTGTAATTGCTAAGCTTTCACTTAAGAGTACTGACCTCATGATTCATGTTTCAATATGATTCATCTGTTTCCACACAGGTCTGTTCATCATCAAATTACTTGAAAACCTTATAAAGCTAAATCCAAGCACTTGTTTCGCATACATTTTTATTTAGTGTTGATAAAGATCAGACAACTAAAACACAAATCATAATGTGACTTTGTACAGTTTGAGGCTTCTGCAAAAGTTTACTACAATAGAAAATGGGAGAATTTAACTAATCCACATTTTTTCTCATGTGTTGAAGCATAATTTCTTTCCCAAACTGTAAAATCTGAACTTGAACCACTGTTACTATGTGCTTAAATGCATAACTTGTGTTAGCAGAGGTGTTGCACCTTTGTATGTGGAAACCATATGAAACAGAATGAAAAGTCAAAGAGCATGACACCCACTTGTGTTTAGATTGAGAAAAAAAAAAGTTGTATACTGTTAATTAGATGGACAGCTGGGAGGATAACCAGAAATTTCAGACTCATTTCTGTATCTTTATTCCAATAAGTCAGTTTTATTGCGGGTCTTATCTTTGCTGTTTTGACTTTTCATTCTATGCAACTTTACACCAGAGAAAGTTTCACATAGGAAGTAGAGGTGCTCTGTCTTTAATTTAAAGCCACATACAGAAGTCACGTAGAGCATATTATGTTGCAGACAGTACACACACTGCATATCCTATTAGCAAGCTTGCATGTGAAGTTACCTTTTTAAGTGCCAGTGTTGGCAGTAGATCATATGTCCCAGCCAGCAGGCCATGCAGTCAAGGTTTATGGGTTATTTTAGTCTTCATCTTTCCTCCTCCTGTCTTGCCTACCAAGTCAGCACTTTCTCACATTGTTACCTGCAGGGTGTGTGAAACTCAGCCAAGCTTAAACAGTAGTCTTTTCTTGCAATGACAGGTTGAAACCACATAGTATTTGAACATTTATTTTTATTACTAGATAATTGTCAGGAGCAGCATCAATCAAGCATTCTGCTAAGATAGAATTTTTTTTGTCTTCAGGTATTGCCTTTATTTTACTATTTTTGAACTGATTCTCTTGTATATCATTATTCTGACACATGCTCACTCTGCTATAGGCTGTCCCTAAAATGGGAAATAATAGAACCTGTCAAGCTATGGTTTGAAAAGTTTTGCACAAGAAGTCGATGGACAGCAAGCAAGTGGAATCCTGAGTAAGCATTAAGACATGATCAGCTGCGATCGTGTGCAGAGTCTGTTGATACAAGCCAGAACTGTTATCTCTTCCTCTTCGCAGACCACTCACTGTTGGAATCAATCCTTTTGTTTTTTTTTGTTTTTTTTATGATTTTACTTTTTTCTTAATTTATTTTCCTAATTTAGTCACTTTTTAACAACGGCTCAAGGTTTCCTAACATTTTCAATTATTTAATGAATCATAAGAAATATGATGTACAAAACAAATGTGTCTGATATAATTAGTTGAAACCTTGTGACATTTAACTCTGCAGAGTCGGGTTGTACATTCCATTTTTATACACATCAGCTTTTTTTTTTTTTTTTATTGTGTATGTTTGATTGGGATGAAATTGTTTTTAGTTGCAATAGTCAAGCTGCAACAGGAAGTGAAATTGACCCTTGCACAGTCTAATTAAAAGCTAAGTTAGATTGGTTGTAGCACTTTAAATCCATTTGCATTGCTTTCTTAAGCTTGAGGACTGCTTTACATAATGTGCAGAGTCAAATGTCATCATTGTTGGTGGTGCTATGTGTAGATCATGTTGGAATATTTTTAAATAGATTTGAATCAAATCATGCACAAACACACAAAAAATAAAAATCAATAAGGAACCAAGAAGCACAAAGGGAAATGTACACAGAAACTGGAAAACACTACAAAAAAACTCCATGCATGCCAGCTATTATTTCCTACAGACAAGAATACTCATTTAGGTTGTTCCTCTTTAGCTATGTTCACACTGCAGACAAATGTGGTACTAATGTGGACTGACCCAAAATGTTGCCATTATTGAAACCAGCGTCATGCAAATTGAAGCTTGGAACTGTTTTGAACTGAGAAAGCTCCTCAGATGGGAACTACAGAATAATAGTCAAGTTGCTTTATTTTTGTTAACCATTTAGATCTACCATGTCTTAGATAAATGAGAATCTACACCAACATATCCGGTGTCAGATTATATTGATACTGTTGTAAAGGGATCAATATTTTACTTTGTTTTTCGCCTCTACTTTTATGATGTCGTTCCTGTTTCCAGAAGTGCAATTTTTCACAGGAGTAGAGTGAAAACGGCAACAAACATGACAGATAATATTATCTGCTCCAGTTGCACAACTTCTAAATTGCTACAAACTAGGGTTGGGCTTAATCGTATTGTGTGCAATTAATCATCAGAAAAACATTAATCGATTACTTTTTGGCACTTGACAATTAATACGATTAATGCCACCAGGCAGATTCCGCTCGGTGCTCCACTTCAAATATGATGAACATTAAAAAAAGTTATATAATTTATTTATCTATCAACACAATATTAAATTTGTCTAATTTTGACACAATTTGGAACAGATTTTTCCGAAGAGCAAATCTAATTGGTCATGTGACTAGGACACAAGGGTGTCGAGGGGATTAATCATCAAATTAATCGTTATCGGCTAAATACGACAATTAATCGGGATTAATTTTTTTGCCAACATTACCCAATCCTACTACAAACACAATAAAGGCTTGTGTGTTGGCTGTAATTATTACAGTTGCATGGCGACCATTATGTCATTTTCTTTGCTTAAAATAAGTATGAGACTAGGGCTGGGCGATATGGCAAAAAAAAAAAAAAATATCACGATTAATTTTTTCATATCTGATCTCAATTAATATCACAAATTTTTTTGCTATCCTAAAAAGTGACTGAAAAATAATTTAACAAATAAATAGCTACAGAAATAATAATAATAATAATAATAATAATAATAATAATGTCTGTTATTTCACTTTCACTAATATAACAAATAGCTATGGTTCAGTAGAACATGAAATTACTTTTGCAAGGTATTGAAAAAGGTATTTACCAAGAAAAAAAAAATTATGTGTAAATCATAGAATCTCACATTAAAAAGTTTTCCTTTTTGTAAATTAAAGTTTTAGAATTTAATTTCACATTAAACATGCCATAAAGAAACATAAACCCTACAAAACAGCAACAATTTGTGCATACTTTCCAACTGGATAGGATCTAAGCTCATTACTTTTGTTATGGAAGGAACCCCACATCCCCACGACCCCCTCCTGTTTACAGTGCTTTATCAAACAACGGACAACTCTGTTTCATTTTTTTCTGAAAGAATATCTGATTCTGCACACACGACAACATGTTGCATAAACTCCCAGCTTCTGAGTCTTCAGGAGTTTGCAGCGTCTCTCAGCTGCTGTTTGTGATGCGACTCAGACAGGAAGCGGTCTTCACATCGCATCCAGCCCATTGTGTGCCGATAAAACTTACAGAAAAGTTCTCCAGATAAATGAAGAACCGCTGGGACATTGTTCTGTCCTAAACGTTACCCTAAGACCACTTCATATTTTTGGAGGATGCTTTTGTTTTAGCAAGCCGCGCATCGCGCCTCAATTTTCTTTTATTCCCTCTCTCTATGTGTCTGGAGAGGAGCTCAGAGCTCACCCTGCATGCCTGTTAGCAGGTAACCGCAGGTACAGGAAGCGACAGCGGTCAAAATGCCCCAGAAACTTCCCTAAATAAGCGAACTCTGAGATTCAGCGTTTTATAGATTACTTTGGTTAATTCTGCGATTCCGTCTGCGTTTCCTTAGCAGCTTATAAACAGAAGTGGAGCAGGAGAAGGTGGATTCCGATTGGCTGTTGTTGCGCACATTTCCTCCATGTTTGATCGCGTAGAAAGCTCACAGCTGATCACCATGGTCGACCTGAATTTTTTCTCGATCAATAATCGCGATCAAATAATCGCCCAGCCCTAAATGAGACTATTGGCTAAATAAGCTTAAAAAAAACTAAGAATTGGAGCTACGGACTAGAAGTGCAAAAAATGTTTGGTATCGGAGTCCATCTCCCCCTACCCCCTCGGGGTGTAGACTCCATGAAGAAACACCACAGCTCACATTTTGAGTATTAGAGAGGGTAAAAGACTGCATATAAAGAGTGCAAATATTTATTTTAAGAAGTATCTCTTTGTTAATGTCTGAATGAGAGCCATATTATAAAGCACTTTGTTCAACCCTGATGTGGAAAAACCTGTTTTGAAATGAGACATTTCCATTTGTGATGAGCATGTGACCTTTCTTTGACACATGAAACCCTTTTAAAGAACATCCTGTCTGAACACACGGAGTCTCATGTTGCTATGACTCAATTGTGGTGACTTTATTTTATGTTCTGTAAGGTTTGGTTGACTGATTATACAGTGGTTATTGAAAAAGTTCTAGAAATACTGTAATCTTATGAGTTATATTTTGTTGTTTTTTTATATACAGGCTTTTGAAAAGTTTAACCCTTCTATTATGATCATTGTACCTTGAGGGAACAAAATTGACTATCTTACAAAACTTTTTTTTTTTAATATATATATTTTTTCCATAATAAACTAATCAATATTTTAGAGCTACCTCAGCCTGAAACAAAATATCAAATGTAAATTATTTTAATATGTATATATTTATTTTATTTTTGTTGGTACCTCTTTTTAAATGCACATTTTGGAAAAAGAAGTCCACTTTTTGACAATTTATCCTAAAATTCCCAGTCCGGAGTTTTTTGAAGACCCTCCATAATACTAAATTTACTATAATTTTGTAATAACATATTTTCTGAGACAAGTGTTTTTGTACAATATATTTATTTTATTATTTTCTTTGCTATTTGCTTCCAGCTTTGATAAAGTACATCAGGCCAGTGTTTGTGTCACGATCGGACCAGAACTCAAGAAAGAAGACTGTGGAGGAGATTAAACGAAGAGCCCATTCTGGGGGAGACTGGCCTCAGGTAAGTGGATTAACTACAGAGTAATTGTGTTGCAGCTTTGTAATACACCTGATGGTACTCGTGATCTTTGAAACTTACAAAGTGTACCGGTATATCATTTTATACATAATATTTGACTAACTGGTTACTAGTTTGGTAAGTGTCCATGGCAGTTTTTGTATTTCACAAAACAGTTTTTCTTTTTTTCTCTTTTATCACAACAAACTAAAATTAAAGTGATTTCCCAACAATTTTGTAGAAAATATATGAACATTTAATTTTTTAATTGCTGCGGACTGTTCCTTGAACAACTTCAGTTTGGAGGAAAGGTTTCAGTTCAGTAGCACTGATGAGCTAATGGCTAATCTAAGTGCAGCCAATTTGAAAACTCTTATAGTAATTAAGTGTTCAGAAATTGAAAGCAGTTAATACACATGCTGTTGTTAAAACCTGTACACTGCAATAAAATTTATATTACATGATTATTTGAGCCAAAATATGTCCTATAAATGTCCCGAGGCAGGAACAGGAGCGCTACAGCTAGCTGCTTCTGCTGCTGTTTTCTTGTACTTGCAACTAACTATAGTTTTCGATGTAACAGTTGTGTATTGCAAGATTGACAAGAATGTAAAAATGTATAAAATATAATTTGAACTGCTATGGAACCTTTGAAACTGGACTCATTTTAAGATGCCATGTTTATTATTATTATTATTATTATTTTAGTTTGGCTCTGCTTTAAATAAGGCGTCCATCTGCATGTGTTCAAAGCCAAAATAAGCTTTGAATGTTACTGATTAAGAGAAGCATTAAAGGAAAAATACTGCTAAAGCACTAATGAACTATTTCCTCTCATTACCTCTAGATTATGATTTTTCCAGAGGGGACATGCACAAATAGATCCTGTCTCATCACTTTCAAGCCAGGTAGCCTCTGTTCTGTTGTTTGACTCGTTTGTTTTTCTTCAGTATTTTTCTTTTTTTTAATCAAGTTGTGATACTAGTTGCATGCACTTATTTTGAAATGTAGATTTTTAATGAAGTGGCACCTCCTTCATATTGGTAAAGGTTGAATTTAGATATAAAATTGAGGGTTTACTGATACATTTGCTTTGTAATATATACTGTATTTGTACTTGTTTTCTTTTATATTACTATTTTAATTTGTTGTTTTTTTCTTCATGCAAAATATCTTTTCTGTTCAACTTCTATAGGGGCCTTCATTCCAGCTGTTCCAGTGCAACCTGTGGTTATTAAGTATCCTAATAAATTGGTAAGTTTACCTACGAAGGGAAAACTCCTCAGTACAATTCCATTCTCATTTTAATAAATGTTTGATATTTAAAAATCCCCCTCCCATGTAATTTTCCCCTTGTTCTGATATATTCCCATTAAAAATAAGATCCCCATATCAAACAGATCATTTTAATGCAAAGCAACACAGGTTAGGCCAAATGTACAATGAAGCCCAGTGGTAGTGGCCTTTAATCATAAAATAATGGTATTATGTGAGCTCAGTTTTGTATACACACCCACTACAGACCCTGTGGTGGGCTTTACATATTGCACTACACTTCTTAAAACGTATTATTGTTATTGTTATTATTGTTATTATTGTTATTATTATTATTATTGTTGTTGTTGTTGTTGTTGTTGTTGTTGTTGTTGTTTTAGTTTGCACCATTTTAGTTCCAAAAGTTACAATTTATTGTTTCAAGCAAAATGAACAATTGGGAAAAACAATAATATATGTTCTTTTATGTATTTCTAACAGGACACAATCACGTGGACCTGGCAAGGCCCTGGAGCGTAAGTACACAATTATTATTGTAGTAATGTAAATGTTAATTGTTACACTACAGGCAAAAAAGAAAGTTAGGCTAAATAAAATTTTAATCAAGTATAATCTAAAATTACTTTTTCTGCACATTTATTTCTGGATCATTTTTGTTTGTATCTTCAACATTAAGTTTAGGGCCCAATGGTATATGATTTCCAGTGATTTCTAAATTATGTGGTCTTTTTATTAGTGTTTTTTACACCACGCTTATTTCAAATTGTGGTCATTTTCTAAGATGTTTTATTGAGATTTAAGGCAGTTTTGATCATTTTTAACATTGATTGGTTTTTGCTAATTAAAACATATAAATATTTTTTTCTTACTTGGAACCATTTAGTTATGCTATGTTTGACTTTAGAGTTATTTTTGTCTGTAATAACTTATTGCTTACTGTGTCCTTTTGCAATCCAGGTTTAAAATCTTGTGGCTGACACTCTGCCAGTTACACAATGAGTTTGTGGTAGAGGTGAGTGTGACAGTCTTTCTGCTCATAATGTTCTCTTTACTCATAAAGACAGATAAACACAGTATGGTTGATGATCAAGTGTGCCATGTGCACTTACTTTAGGTGGACACACTTGTATTGCATTAGTTTAAAAAAAGGAACTTGTGATTTTTTTTTTCTCAACAGTTCCTTCCTATTTATACCCCATCAGAGGAGGAGAAAAAGAACCCAGCTCTCTTTGCTATCAATGTGAGACAAGTCATGGCTAAGTAAGTCAAACACTTTAGCACACTGGAAAAGTAACCAAGTCTGACAATAAAAGTCAGGAGAAACTTGACAGCAAATTTGAGCAGGCCTCTTAAGTAGTTGTCTTTGTTTCAAAGGCCATAATGACTGCAGTACATTTTAGCACCATAAAAGTCACATCAACTTCTGCGTTTTCTCTATTAACCTAAGTTTGTATTGATTTACACCCACTGATGATGTCCCCTTATTGTTTCTCCCCTCAGAGCTTTGGGGGTGCCCATCACAGACTATTCATTTGAAGACTGCCAGCTGGCTATGGCCGAGGGCCAGCTGAAGCTGCCAGTCGACACCTGTCTGCTGGAGTTTGCCAGACTCATCAGGAGGCTGGGGTGAGTCGCTCAAATGTTCCAATTCAGTGCACCCATCAGAGACGACTAAGTAAGGAGCAGAAGAGTGTAAAATACTCCATCAATGCAACAGGATCTTGGCAGGGATTCCATTTGTGGAAGCAGTATCTAGATTTAGTTGTGCTTTCTACAAATTTAGACAGACTGTTTACATCTATCAGAAGGAAGGCTAGCTGAATTTAGGCCTTTTATTTGTCAGTAAGTTGTGCCTTTTTAGTGTTATTTCTGTAGAGATGTACACAGTGAATCCAGGCAGAAAACACACTTAACAGGAAGGAATTCAATGTTTTTATTTTCTTTTTTTTTTTCTGTCCACAAAAGAGCTTTGCAGTTGTAAGTACTGCTTATGGTGATGCATTTAAAGGTTGGTGATAAATCACAAAACTGGTTTAAATAATTTGGTTAAAAAGTGTCAAAAAGTCCAGACAGGGAAAACTTCAGAGAACAAATGTCATGTGTACAAATTAAAAACAAAGTGTGTTTTAATGTTTGTTTGTTTTTTGTTTTTTTAACGTATTTTTTTTTTTGTTGTTGTTGTTGTTCACATGTAATTCATGCTATTAGACAGCATGTTGCACCTTTTTTTAAAATCTCCTATTGCTCTCACAGGCTGAAACCGCAGAACTCTGAGAAGGTTTTGCAGGATTACGGTAACAAAGCCAGGAAGCTTGAGGGTCAGAAGCTTGGCTTAGACAACTTTGCCCACTTCCTCAATGTGCCGGTTTCAGATGTGCTTTGTGACATGTTTGCTCTCTTTGATGAGGTAAACACACTTTGCACCTCACTGCTACAACTCAACTGTTTCTCACAGTATTAACTGCTGATCTTATAATATATAATATGATTATTATAATATATATATATATATATATATATATATATATATTGCAGCACATATTTTCTGTGGAATTGTTGGTGAATGCATGTCAGCAAATTTCTAATCTAGTTTTAGTAGCTTCATTATTCTACCTTGTTTTAGGGTTGTCTCAATGCCAGTTTTTGTCAAACTGAGTACAAGTACTTCAATTTGTGTACTTACTTGTCTTTACTGAGTACTTACTGAGTTAGAATCTAAACATTATACAATGACTTGAAAAAGTCATTTATTTTATTTAGAACAAGGTTGCTGTCCTTTATTGGCAAACAGCCCCTCTGACTGGATCAAATCAAATATACAACATGATACTGTATGTACTGTTGCAATATTTAAAAGTAAAAAAATATATAAATTTAAACAAATATTTTCTTTCAACTTGTATGTGTATATATATATATATATGTTTTGTTTTTTTAAATATGGAATTGACAAACTTTTCACTTGAAATGTAAACTGTAACATATTTAATGGAGCATCGATGCCAGTATCCTAGTATCAATACTGGTATTGGTGTCAGTTCTGAGTATTGGGGCATTTTATATTAGTCTTTGTAAAAATTCTGGTATATGGCCCGATACATATACCCAGCATCTGTATCAGGACACTACTAGTTTGTTTGATACAAACCAGTTTTCCCACCTTCTGAAACATGGCAATATTTTTCTACAATAGAACTGGTAATAGTCTTTGTTTTTATTATTGCAAGGACAAGTTCTAAATATGTTTTTGTAATAATCTAGATGACTTAATTTAACGTGTTCTTTTTGTCTTTTTTTTTATTTTATTTTTTTTATTTTTTTTTAGTGTGAAGATAACAGCATGGATATCCGGGAGTTTGTGATCGCCTTATCGGTTGTATGCAGACCTGTCAAGACTCTGGAAACGATGAAACTAGCCTTCAAGGTAGGTTTTCTTTTTAGTTTTATACGTTGCTTTCTGTCGGGGAGAATATCATGTGCTTATGTTGTCATACAACGGTTGGTGACATCAGTTCATGGTCTGCTTATTTCTCAAACTTGCTCAGATCTGCTTTTTGTAACATTAAACAAAATGTGCATTTGTAAAATTATGGTGAAAGATGATGGTTCTATAGAATCAAAAAGTTTTTAGTCTACATTAAAATCTACAATGGCTTCACTTTTTCTTCTCCAGATGTTTGAGGCAGATGAGGATGGTGCTGTCACAGAAAGTGAGTTGGCGGTTATTCTGAAGACAGCTTTAGGACTGGCTCACCTCAATGTGTCACATCTGTTTACTGCCATCGATGCTGATGACACAGGAAAAATTTCATTTGGTAAGTCTCAGTGGAGGAGGAGTTGATTTTTTTTTTTCTCTTTGGTAAAAAAATATAAACTTTCAAGTAGTCATTATCAATTAGTTAAAGTGGAAGTCTTAGATTTTAGGCCTTAATTCAGACTTGGAAATCAAGGGTCTTGGTTGAAATGTTTTTGTTTTAATATATATAATTTTTTTTCTTGTCTCTGGCTCCCCCTTGTGGCCTCACCAGACAAGTTCAGAGCTTTTGTGGAGGAGAACCCAGAGTTTGCTGAGGACTACCTTTATACAGAAAACGCAGGCCTTCAGAGCGGCCCCTGCCACGGTCGGCAAACGCAGCCCAACCCGTCCACCCTGAACCCTCAAAACACTGCCACCAGCAAAACAGCCAACGGTATCTGCCCCGACTTCAGCCCGAAGGAGCACGATGGCACAACAGATGCTCTCTCCAAGAAACACAACTAGAGGTTTCAAAAAAGAAAAAAAAAAAAACTAGCCCCTCTCCTGGTGAGAGCTGGCTGGTTGTCTGTGAGTAAGGGACTACATTTCATTAACCGCAAATAAAAAAATGGTTTACCCCCTTTTTTTTGTATTTTGTTCATAAAATTGACCATTTTCAGCCTGTAACAGTTTGTTACTTTACTTTTTATTTGAAAGAATTATCAAAATGCCAAACAATGGCTTTTTTATATACAATGCTTGAATACTTGAAGGGCAAGCACTTATGTGGCAATTTTTTTCTTTCTTTTCTTTTTTTTTGTTTTTGTTTTTTTCTCCACTTTTTCCCTATTACATAATACTGACTGCGCATGTTTTTAACTCAAGAGAACCACAAGAAAAACAAACCCTAGATTTGTGAATTCAATGTTTTGTTTTCCATTTATTTGTAACTTTCTATCCATTTACCTACTTTTAAAGGTAGCTGCCTTTTAAACTGAAAGTGCAGAATGACCGGACTCATCTTACGCTGAGCAGTACGTACGATTGTTAACTGGAAAAGAAAGAAGATCCGAGGGTACCGGTGAAGATTGACAGTATCTGAGGTTAACTCTGGTCTCTGCACGCTGATGATCAAAGCTCCTGTGAGTCCGGTGTGTGTGCTGTGTGTGTGTGTGTGTGTGTATGTATACATTTGATTTAGCTCAGGGTTCAGTAACAAAAATTGAAAACTCCTATGATGTCATCATATTTGTATAGGTTACGTGCATGTAAAGTCTTTTGCACATCAGCACTCTTCCTGTCTAGTCATTTCTCACACACACAATCTTTTTGTTGTTTTGTTTTTTACGACATAACTTGGACCAAAAATTCATCAAATGATTTCATTTTCCACTCTTCATGTTGTGCTTTTGGTTTGTTTCAGTGGTGCAACAACTTAAAGGGAACAAATCAAACCACGTGACCTCTGAAAGCTACTTCCCTTATTGCATTAAAATCTTTGCAAACAATTTTGAAAATTGAGATGTTTCTCAGGTTTTTATTTTTTTTTTTAAAAAGTTCAATTAATTGTTGTGATGATTGCAGACTCAGCTGTTCAAACTGTAATTGTTCACGTTGTTTCTGATCTGCACAAAAAGAAAATATTTGCTGGTTTTGTCATTTAGGAAAGTTGTAAAACAGGTTCCAGCACTTTTGTGTCAGAACACAGTTGAGAAATCATCAGTTCTTGTTGTTATTTTTTTTCTTCCCACTTTAATTTTTTTTCTCAGAAACTGAAAATCCATACAGACATGTCACTTAAATGTGGCTTAATTTCAGGTGCTCAGTACCTGTACATTTATGAAAGTAAAAACATATAAGAAAATGAAGGAAGATTTAAGTTCTCTTAAATCAGACTAGTTTAGAAGATTGTTAATCTTTGATGGTTTTGAAGGTATTTTTTTATATAAATATAAAGAGGCCTAATAATATACCAATAACATTTTGTCACTTGTCCATATTGTAGTATTCAGTCTATTTTAGTAGGAAAAAATTTAATCATCTGAAACGTTATTCACACAATGCCATCTATGGCAAACAAATTAAAACCCAAATATTGTTGCTTCTCTGAAATGTTCCAGTGTTTCATTTACGATGGGAAAAAGGAAAGGGAATACATCAGAAGCAAATAAAATGATGCATGCGACCATCAGAGCCAGACATATATACACTGCTCAAAAAAATAAAGGGAACACTTAAACAACGCACGCTAACTCCCGATCTTAATCAATGAAATATTCGCATTGAGTACTTTGTTCTGTACAGAGTTGAATGTGCTTCACAAAAGTTTGATTTACTTGGACTTAATGTGCGTTGTTTAAGTGTTCCCTTTATTTTTTTGAGCAGTAGTGTTCCCTTTATTTTTTGAGCAGTGTATATATATATATATATATATATATTTGTCACATTCCCATCTTGTTCATGGCCACGCATCCTGTCTGCATCCTCGTTTTGACTTTCAGTGAAGCAATATTTCTCATCTTTAAGCCTTCTCAAGGTAATTGCTTTTAAAAAAAAGTTTCAATATGTATTTTGAATATTCCAAATGCAGGACATTTTGTGAATTTTTGATATATGAATGATTTTTTTTTTCCACTGCCATGACAAAGATCTGTGATCTCTGCTCTGCAGATTGTATTATTGACTAAATGAGCCACATTTATTTTGCTCTTTCTTTTGTATGATCTTACAGTTTTGTGCTGTATTCCTCCCACACGGTGTAAAGTTTTCTTGCTGTATTATTCCTGTTGATGCTGAGTTGACTGCTTAGAAACAAAACACAAAAATGCAGATTTCATATGAAAACAAATAGCCGTGAAAGCCTCTAATGGAGATTTTATGCTTCAAAAAAAAAAAAAAAAAGAGAGAGAGAATGTACAGACAATCTTGTCGCAATCAGAAACCCCCAAAAGCTCTGATCTCCAGTGGACATTTTCTTAAGAAATCATTTTTTAGCATTCTCTTTATTATTCTATTTTTTGTTTAGGCGTGCAGATTGAACTAAAAGTAGTGCGTCAGGCCCTGAGGTGAGGAGCCACCGCATGACGGGCCCAGTCACACACACACACACACACACACACACACACACACGCACACACACGCACTCCAGACTGCTCACACACACACACAACTAAACATTTTACATGTTTAATGACAATCTTGAAGTATTGTCCTTTTTTGTTACTTTGTCCCCCACCCACCGGAAGGTTGTATGTGCTTGCACTTTAGTGTTTTCTTTTTTGATTTTTAAAGGAAAAGTGACATAGCTCTGAAGCATGTTAAGTTAGGTTACATTATTGTAACACTCACCTTTAATATAATGGGGTTTGCTTGTTATATTTTATTATTTCCCCCCGTTCTACAAGTACAGATAAAACAATTCTACAAAATCTAAGCAGCCTCTTGCCCCACTTTTTAGGTTTACCACTTAAATCCTTCTTTTGAACCTCCCGGTTTGATTTGTCTCAGGACTGCATAAATTTAGTAGCTTCAAAGAGAATTTGTAGGACTCGGCAGAAATGTAAAAATTTGGTCATATTTGCACCATGAAATAGAGAAGTATTGATTGTACTCCGTACTGAGTCATTTTACAATACAAGGACTAATAATACAGTATACTGTACATATGAAGGAAATAATAGAATTTGTGTACATTAATGGAAATTCTGGTAATTACTTAAAAAAATTGTTAAAAGCTTGACCCAAAATGAACCAAACTGAGGATTTCAATTTATACCCTTATACCTATTCCAGTATTTTTATGACAAGGTAATTGTACATGAAGACTATGAATATGTCTCTTTTTTTTCTTTTGTTTTTGCTTAGAGAAATTTCTATTTTTAAAACACAATATCCCTGTGAGAAAACATGAACCTGCAACAGAAACTTGTATTTATGCGATTGCTGCCTGCTTTGTTTCAGTCTGTTCTATGCTGAGCCCAAGACGAAAGACTTGTGTACTCTGACAGAGCGATGGTGTCTTTCTGATGGCTCGATGTATGCAAAACAATACCCTGAACTGTTTTTTTTTTTTTTTTCTGTAGTTTGGTTTCCCATCTTATTTTTTTTCTATAGTAAACAGGTTTTATGCATTTTGATGGCAAGGAGTCCTTACAGCAAGCTGTTTTGAGTTTGTTCAGAATGGCTGTTGTATAACTTATTTGTGACCTTTGGATGGAATTAAAGAAGCGTTAAAACCCATCTGTGTGACACTGGTTATTGTGGAAATTTTTTATTTTTTCCACTGCATGATAAATGCATATGGTGGTATGTGAATACGTGATAAGAAAAGAAAAAAAACTTTCAGAGCCAAACTTGTTTTGATGACTTTTTAGCAAAAACTTGATCTCAACACCTTTTATATGGTTTAACTTTGAAACAGGAATAATGTGTCCCTCTAGTGGTGAAATAGTATCCATGCATTAAAGACTGAAATCAGCTTTTTTTCATCTTTTTCTTTCAGCAAGAATGACAATATAAACAGCAAAAGCTTGCCTTGGGTTTATATTTATTTTATTTCATTTCCCTAGATGGTAAAAGTCAGCCCACATTGTGTTAAGCTGGCACTGCTGAATGGAAAGTAGTTTATCAACCGGATGTGGGCCACAACTGGCCTGTTGTGGTTTGGTTTATGCGGTGCTGGCCCGTGCACAGACCGCATCTGGGCGACCAGTTGGCCATTGCTTTTTTATTTATTCTTTTTTTTTTTTGTGGTATCTTGTGTTGGCATGTTTGGTGCCTTGTGTGAGCCAAACTAATTGTATTACTCGGGGAGGTTTTATGGAAGCCCTGCACTGCTTGGGAAGTGACAAATTAAACCATCATAACTAATCAGTGGTGGCCAGTCAGTCTTACACAAACAGTATATGCTCTATAAATACAGTATTACCCAATGCTGCAGAAAAGATTTCACAATTGTTTTGCACCACATCCCTTTCTTGACAACCTGGGATTGAATTTGCAACCTCATTATTACAAAACCATTGCACTCACCGAGCCACAGAAACCCTCAAACTATAACATCTGTAAAATAGAGAAACCAAAGTTGGCCTATATCAGAAGGTGATTACCTTACTGTATTGTTTTTTTTTTCCTCACATAGCCTACAGAAAATTTGATCACAGCATAATAAAACTCCTGAAATCATATTATGACCTGCAGTTGTGGTGTGCTTTTTCAGAATAAGATCTGGCTACCAGCTGGCCACCTCTTACGACCTTGGTGCCTCCACAACTCAGCGATGCATTTTATTCCATCTAAATACGACATGGAACACGATAAACAGAGGAGAAAATATTCATTAAACATTTGGCTATATTTAATATGAGAAAGCACAAAGTTGAAGGAAGGTAGCTACAACAACGCAGACATATGGAGTCATGAGTGGATGCTTGTGGTTAACCAGAGAGAAATGTATCCCCATCTCTGCCTCCTCACCTGTCTCCAGCCCCCATCACTCCTGCATCTTCTGCTCTCACCCTCCCTTCTCTTCGCCCCCCCTCTCTCTTCTGAGCCGCAGCTGTTGCTTTTATGAAAACAAGACACTCGATTATTAGCAACTTGTTTGTCAAAGCCTCGTCCGAAACATGCCATTTCCAGCGTGGCTTGCACATTGGCCCAACAATCTCAGACACGAGGCCTCAGGTTTTGATCGACGCTCGCACTTTGAAGGTGCGTACAACGTGGAGGCAGCAGAATTAGAGATTAGTGGCCAATTGATCACTATGATTGGCTTGCGTACAAAAAAGTGCCATCTTGGTTATGAGGGTCATCATAAACCTGCCTGTGGGGAGTGTGCTGATTGTGTTATTTGATGCCCTGCTCCTGTTTTGGTTGGAGTTGAAATGGGTGGGTGTGGGGGCTGGGTGATGGGAATGATTGTGTTTAGGCTGCTGAACATTACAGGTAATGAGATTTCTGGTGTGACAGGGTGTGTGGGTTGGTCAGTTTCATCTATGAAGGAGTGGAGCAGAGGAGACTGAAGGAAAAGGTAATGGAGTTTTATGGACAACAGCACAGACAGACCAGTGTTAACTGTGTCATTATACATTAATTCTCTGAGTACTTATTGTATTAACCAGAGTGATGAGACTCCTGCAATTTTTCTATACACACCCATCTCTGCAAATGTGTTTATTTCAATTAAAATAGCATGTTTTTTCCAAACATTAACATTTAAAAAGATCTAATTAATCTTGATCTCTCAAGTTGTTAAATCCAATCACATCACTCTCACAAAATATGATTGTGTTGATAAAATATTATACATGTACATAGAATTCAAATCAGGCACAAAAAACCAGTCCAGTACTTGGAGACATAAATGCTTATTTACATACATAAAATATTTCAGAGTGCTGTGGACCTCCTGTCTGCGTGTAGACAAACATGGCCCTGCTTCCTTCCAGCAAAGCTTTCATAATAGTGAGCCACCCTAGATACAACGGGTAAAATAAGTATTGAACACGTCAACATTTTTTCTCAATAAATATGTTACTAGAGGTGCTAATGACATGAAATGTTCACCAGATGTCGATAACAACCCAAGTGATCCATACATACAAAGAAATCAAACC